CATGGTATTTTCAGTAACCTCGTATGCATGGGAAAGCTGGACAGTGAATAAGGAAGACCGTAGAAGAATTTATGCTTTTGAGTTATGGTGTTGGAGAAGAATATTGAAAGTGCCATGGGCTGCCAAAAGAACCAATAGATCCATTTTGGAATAAGTGCATCCAGGGTGCTCCTTGGAGCCCAAGATGGCCAAACTCCATCTGTCATACTTCGGACATATTGTCAGGAGGGACCAGGTCACTGGAGAAGAATATCATGTTTGGTAAGGTAGAGGGTCAGAGAAAAAGAAGAAGACCCCCAGCAAGATGGATTGGCCAAGGGGCAGCATCAATGGATTCAAGCGTGGCAACAGTAGTGAGGTTGGCCCAGGGATCGGGCAGTCTTTCGTTCTGCTGTGCATAAGGTTGCTGTGAGTCTGTACCAACTCGATGGCACCTAACAACAACAACAAGTATAGAAAACTGATAGAAAATGAAGGAAAGAAATGAGATTGCAGCTTTAATGCAGATTGATTTGCAGTTTTTAAATTTGTTTTCTCAGCACTTGTACCTGTTTCACATGCAGACACCAGGAGATCATTTATTCCTAAAACTTGTTTGCATAACTGTGCTTGCTAAGTGACCAAAGTACTATAAATAATTTCTCATGAAATAAATGAATTGGAATTATGCCCTTGGTTATTATTTATTTTTGGTGAAAACATATGCAACAAAACCTAACTAATTTAACAGTTTCTATGTGTACAGTACATGGACATCAGTTACCTCTTCTTGATATCCTTTCAAATAATTTCAGTATAATTAGAATAAACTCATTTTCCCCTAACTTCTCATCTAATGTTGCAGATTGCTTCTATCAACCTGATCACATACAGGTAATTCTTTAAAAGGGTACAATACTCAAAGCAAACATCTTTACAGATTAAGTTAAACTCTTGTTTCTTTAAAGGTAACTTCAGTTTTAATGTTTAAAGATTTCTTTAGAGCAGTTATTTTGGAGAGATAATTTAGCTTCATTGGCTCTAGAAGGACTGAATTCTATGAAAATTTAAAATTTTGTTCCATATTTTCCCTTCTTTTTATCAAGATTATTCAATGGACTCTGTGACCAAATGTTCAGTAATGGTAGCAAGGCACCATCTAGTACTTCTGGTCTCATGGCAAAGGGAATGCATGCATTTCAGTTCCTCCTCTGATTCCTGTTCTTTCTGCTGTTCCCAGCTAATAGAGACCAATTGTTATATCTGGGATGGCTGATTACAAGTTTTTAAGTCCCCAGACAGTATATATGAACCCGGAGGTAAAACAGAAGCACTTAAATCAGTATTAGGCCACTTAATGGGGATGTCCTATAAATCTATGGCCCTAAACGTGGAACCAAGAAAACAAATTCCATGAAGTGTTTGTACGTAACTGGTATCAGCATCTGTTATTTGTTGTTGCTGATATATATATTAAGTGATAGTTTACATAGGAGAACATTAGTTTTACATTCATCCCATCATATATCGTTTCATTGTCATGGTTACAATTGCTCCATGCACTATCAACCAACCAGAGGGTATACCCTGAAAGCCTGCCCTCAAGTCGTCAGCATACAGCCCCTCTCCCTCTCTGGGTCTAGAGTTCCCAGCCACTCCATCTCTCCACATCTTCGTCTCTGTCTCCATCTCTGACATCACTGTTTCTCTGGGTAGGGTCCCGCATTACACTCTTCTCCTTTGATGGTCCCAGGGACCTCCATAAATGTAAAGTCAATCACTCTCCTCCTTTTGCTACAAAATGTCTACCTTTACATTTCCAACCCTCACAGTCAGTCCTGATACCAATTATTCACTGTGGTACCACAAGAGACCTTTTCCTATCTCCTTTTATCAGCTCCGTCCAAACAGATTGTATACTACTCAGTGTAGATTCTACCTTCCTCCGAGCCCTCTGGATCTAGGTTCCATCTTGAAAGCTTGTAAGCTTCTTGCCTTTGTAACCCCCCATTATGGGTAGCCAGTGTCCAAGTTGCCCATCCCTGTCTACTCTGTGTATGGAGGGGATGGGAGTGATCCCCGCTGAAAAGATTTGTTTCCTCTTTTGAGCTACTGCATCCGTCAGTGTAGATCAAGTTCATCAAATTGTATCACATTACTCTTTTTTTCTTCTTTCTTCTTCTAGTCAAGTTCTGTTCATCCAGTTATTGAGGCCAGGTTGAGTGGGTATTATCTGCAAGTGTGGATGTTCTTGTACATATGCCCTCTCTTCTTATCAGCTGGACGCTTCACTCTCCACTCCAGTCCTCTGTGGCTTTGTCACTGACTCTGGGCCCAAGAGTCCCCAGGTCTTGCCACACTGCTGGCCAATAGGTCTCCACCGGGTTTATAGGAGTCTATTGAACGTTGTAGGGCTTAGCTTACATCTTCATTGCTGTTTTTCCGTCACTTCCCCTTACTGGTGACAAACGTGGTCACCAATCAGAGTGTATGTCTGCTTGTGTATTCCCATTGAGTCTTTGTCTTGGAAGGGGGTTTGCCCTGAGGGGACCTGACTACTTGCCTTGATGTCTGCTGGGCAGTGTTGCTGCTATTTTAAATATGTTGTTAAGTGCTGTGAGGTGGTTCTGACTCATAGTGACCTGTGTAGGGTTTTTGGGGAGCAGCTGGTGAGCTTGAACCACCAACCTTGTGGTTTAAGCCAACCTTGCAGTCCAGTGCATTAGCCCTCAGTGTCACACAAGTATTCCTATTTTAAATATATATGTAGTTGTTAAGTGCCATCAAGTCAGTTCCAACTATATCAACCCTTATAGGATTTCCGAGGAGTGGCTGGTAAACTTGAACTGCCAAACTTGACATTCAAACTGACCTTGCAGTCCAGCACATTAATCCACAGAGCCATACCAGAACTGTTGTTAAGTGCCATCAAATTGATTCTGACCCATAGTGGCCCTTTATAGGGTTTCCAAGGAGCAACTGGTGACCTTGAACCACCGAATTTGAAGTTCAAACCACTTAGCAGTCTGACACATTAGCCCACAGCACCACACCAGGACTATATATGTATATATATATTGTTGTTTTTAGGTGCCATCGAGTCAGTACCAACTCATAGTGCCCTTATGCCCATCAGAACGAAACACTGCCTGATTCTGGATCAACCTCACTATCATTGCCACACTTGAGTCCATCGATGTTGCCACTTTGCCAATCCATCTCGCTGGGGGTCTTCCTCTTTTTCTCTGACCTTCCTCCTTACCAAACACGATATTATTCTCCAGCGACTGGCCCCTCCTGACAATATGTCCAAAGTATGAGAGACGAAGTTAGGCCATCCTGGCTTCCAAGGAGCACTCTGGCTGCACTTCTTCCAACACAGATCTGTTGGTTCTTTTAGCAGCCCATGGCACTTTCAATATTCTCCAACACCATAACTCAAATGCATCATTTCTTCTATGATCTTCCTTATTCACTGTCCAACTTTCACATGTATATGAAGTTATTGAAAATACCATGGCTTGGGTCAGGCGCACCTTAGTCTTCAAGCTGACATCTTTGCTCGTCAACACTTTAAAAAGGTCTATGCAGCAGATTTGCCTAATGCAATATGTCGTTTGATTTCTTGACTGCTTCTTGGATCAACTGTCAATACTCATGGAAGCAGCAGTCAAGAAAGATATATATATATATGTGTGTGTGTGTGTGTGTACATATAAAACAACATTTACCAATTCACGTTTTTTCATATGTGTAGCTGTTGCTGTTGTTATGTGCTGTAGTGTATGTTCTGACTCACAGTGACCTGTAATAGGGTTTCTAAGAGTTACTGGCGGGTTTGAACTGCTGACCTTGTAGTTAGCAGTACAGTGTAACAAAAAATGGACATTGATTGCCTTCATGTTGTGCTACCTTTCTTGATATCCTTTCCAAATTATTTCAGTATAATTAGAATGAACTAATTTCCCCCCAACTTCTCATTTAATGTTTCAAATAGCTTCTGTCAATTTGATCATGTACAGGTAATTCTTTATAAGGGAGCAATACTCAAAGCAAACATCTTTACAGCACCACAGTAGGTCTCTCTGTTAAACACTAATAAAGTTTGGTCTAGATAAGTGCCTATTGTTACCATTTCATAGAAATTAGATCATACAATATTTGTTCCTTTGTGATTGACTTATTTCACACAGCATAATGTCTTCAAGGTTTGTCCATGTTGTAGCATGTACTAGGACTTCATTTCTTTTTTTAAAAAATTAATTTTGTTTATTGAGCCCTGGTGTGGTACTGTGGGATAATGCGTTGGATTGCAAGGTCAGTTTGAACCAACCACTTCTTGGAAACCCTATATAGGGTCACTATGAGTCAGAATTGACTCCATGGCACTTAACAACAACAATGTCTTATTGAATGTATTATGACATAACATAATCTGTTAATGATAACAAAGTGGAATTTATTTCAAAACTATAGCATTTAGAATGGGCCTAAAAAGCCTGTTCCAATTCATAGCAACTCTATGTAGGGTTTTTGAGGACCAGCTGGTGGATTTGAACTGCTGACCTTGTGGTTCACAGTCCAGTGCCGATACCACACCAGGAGTCCTTTAATAGCATGTTAAGTTATTGTTAAGTGCCATCCAGTCAGTTCTGACTCATAGTGACCCTATACAGGGTTTCTGAGGAGCAGCCGGTGTGTTTGAACCACCAATCTTGTGGTTCACAGTCCAGTGCTAATTCTACAGCACCACACCAGGAGTCCTTTAATAGTCTATAGTCTTTTGGAAATATGTTGTTTTAATGGATGTTACTTTTTCTTCCCCAGAGAAAGTTCTAATGTAAATTTGGTGCTATGTTGTCTACTAATGACAACCTGAAGTCCTGGTGTGGCGCTGTAGGATAAGCACTGGACTGCAAGGTCGGTTTGAACCACAAGGTTTCCGGTTCAAATTCACTAACCGCTCCTAGATAACCCTATACAAGGTTGCTATGTGTAAGAAATGACTCAAAGTCACTTAACAGCAACAACAACAAAGACAACTGAGATGTTTTGTTACAGATTCCTAAAGTATACTTGGTTACTATGAGATATTTTCTTTTGCTATTTATGTTTTTACATAAGTTTGTTGAAAAACTATAATTATTTTTTATCCTGTAATCAAGAAGTTGGTTAAGAATTCACCATGATCAAACATGTTGGTGGTAGAAATGACTTATGTGTTGTGCTTAGCAATTGTATTAACTCGGTAAATTGTAATGAATGTATAATGTTTCCTTTGTTTTCCATGCAGTTATTCCTTCAGGTAGAACTGTTCCCAGTTTTACCACAGAACTGGTATGTAACGAATTTAAAATATATTTCAAAAGATACATCCCTGTTATTAAATGGTTGCATAATGGGTATAGATATAATTTATAATCCTCCAGTTGAATGGGAAAAGATACGGTGAAGAATGGGGCAACAGGAAGAAGCATGTTGTTGTTTGGTGCCATTGAAGTGGTTCCAAATCATAGCGCCCGATGGACCACAGCATGAAACACTGCCGGGTCCTGCACCATCCTCACGAATCTTCTGTTTGAGCCTGTTGTTGCTGCCAGTGTGTCAGTCTATTTCATTCGGGGTCTTCCTCTTTTTCATTGACCCTCCATTTTTCCAAGCATGTTGTCCTTGTTCAGGGACATGCCGAAAGTACAATAGACGAGTTCTTGCTGTCCTCGCTTCTAAGGAACATGTGGCTGCACTTATTCCAAAACAGATGTTTGTTTTTCTGGCAGTCCATGGTACTTTAAATATTCTTCTCCAGCATTGTAATTCAAGTGCATCTGTTCTTCTGTGCTCTTCCATATACATTGTCCTTTAACATGCATATGAGGCGATTTAAAATACCATGGTTTGGATCAAATGCACTTTTGTCATCAAACTGACATCTTTTCTCATTTAACACTAGAAAGAGGTTATTTTCAGCATATTTCTTGACTGCTACTTTCATTCTTTAACAGCGATGTAGCAAAAACTCAGGAATTCCAGAATTGACATTTTCTTATCAGCTTTTCATTTCATGACATTTGTTAGCATATGCTAAGACTACTTAGAAGATTAGGAGAATTCTGAAGTTACTGAAGTTGTACGCAATTTTAAAACACTGCAATGTTTTAATTGGGGAGGCTTCAAAAAGTGCATGGAAAAACGGAAAAATAAAAGATGAATGAAATTTCTCCACAAACTTTCTGATACCCCTCATAATATGCTTGTTGTTGTTAAGTACCGTGGAGTGGGTTCTGGCTCGTAGTGACCCTGCATGGAGTTTCCAAGGCTGCAGATCTTTACGGGAGCAGAAAGCCTCATGCTTGGTATGGCCTAAATAAACAAATTTGAGATGGTGTATTTTTTTGTGTTGAGTAGTATACTTTTCCTTTTTATGAAGTGAAATATTCTAGTTACTATCTGTCTTTGTAAAGTAGTAGAGGCTACAGTATAGATTTCTTTCCCCCCTAGCTTTAGGGGCAGGAAAGAAACCCACTGCTTATAACAGAAAATTGAGTAACTTTTCAAGTGGGGAAGAATACCCATTTTAGCTCTTAACTTTCTGTGGTGCTGATGGTATATAGTCCACTAACTGGTTTTCTGTTTCTTTCAAATCATTTTACCTTTGTAAGGTAAAAGGTTTGTTGGTCTATTTATTCTCATTTCTTCATTAAAACCAAACAAAATACTCACCCCTCACCAGGATTTATGGGGAAAAGTGTACTGCTTTGGATAAGAAACTAAAGACGAACTATCTTTGACTTTTAAATCTGATTTTTAAAAATGGGGATAACCTTTTTCATGATTTTAGAAATAAGATGTCCTTATAAGAAGTGAAAACAAAAACAAAACCCCCTCAGAGGTTTTTAAATTAGAAAGTGAAAGAGCCCTACATCCTTACAACTCTTAACTGTTTGCTTTACATCTATCTCTATATCTTTGAGGAAATGATAGTGATTTTTAGGATAAAAAGTAGGACCATTCTCTATATTGTTTCTGTAAAGTTTTTAAAAACTTAATAATATGAGGAGGCTTCAAAAAGTTTGTGGAAAAATAGAATGAAAAGATAATGGAAATGGACCACATGAACATTAGTCTCCATGACCCTGAGTCTAGAAGAACTAGATGGTGCCAGCTACCACTACCAACTGCTCTGAAAGGGATCACATTAGAAGGTCCTGGGTAGAGTGGGAGGAATTGGAATAGAACTCAAAAATCATGAAAAAGACCACGCTTATTGGTTGGATAGCGACTGGTGGTCTATCACAGCTGTGACCCTTGGTCTCGAACTGAACTTACCGCATTGCTCACTATTCAGTCAGTGGGGGATGGCAACATTAATGAGGTGCGCACACCATAGAATGGTCAAACGTTTCTAGATCAAAAGGACTGCATTTACCTAAGGACAAAATTCAGAAGGGTGTGGAAAAGAGGAGGAATGGAAACAAGAAACATGGGGGAAGTGGGATAAGTGATACTACATTGAGGGAATTGAAATCGAAATGAAATGAAGTGTATGACTTTTTAAAATGTAAAACTGATGATCTACTCTGAAACCTTTGCTAGAATCACAATAAAACTTTTTAAAAAAGAAAAAAAGACAATGGAATTTTCCCATGAAATTTTGGATACCCACTAGTATATAGATGGACCCTTTTCAGTGCCAGTACATATAGCTTGAGCCTAGTAGTTGTACCACAGTTTAATGAGTGAATCTTTTGCTGATGGACGTTTAAATTATTTAAAAATATAGTACTCTATTGAATTACATGTATATATATATATGTCTTTTTATACGTATGTGATAATCAGGATAAATTCCTAGAAATAGAAATTCTGGATCAAAGGTCATGTATGTTTTCAATTTGGATATATTTGGTATTATAAAATTACTCTCCAAAAAGATTGTACCAATACACACTCGTGATAAAAGAGAACTGATTTTTATCACATTCTTACCAGTATTGAGTACCATTAATCTTTTGAATGTTTGCAGATCTAATAGGTAAAAATGTTTGTCTTTTGTTTTAGTATTTTTAAACTCATATTGGGTTACCATCGAGTCAGAACCGACTTAATGGCAACTAATAACAGCAATGCTTAATTATTCTAAAATTAGATTTATGTAGTATATTATCTATATTAAAATACCTTAGGTAACCCACTTACAGATTTATAAGAAAACTCTTGTAAATAACTATGTAGTCCTTATATATAAATCCTTGAGGATGAGTGGCCTAGCTGTAGAACAGAAAGTCTCTTGATCCCTAATGTTGTTAAGTGCCATCAAGTCAGATTCCCTAATGCGATACTCTGAATTGAATATTAAAAAGCTGTTTTATTCAAAGAATTCAGTTCTAACAGACTTGTCAAACTATTGTTGTGAATCAGATTTTTTTATTCCCTTTGAGACCAGGGGAACAAAAAAGATACAAGTCCTTTTCTAAGTTTCTAATGTAAATTTCTCAATTCCAGGGCACTTCAAAATCCAGTGCAAACTTTACTTTTCCTTCCAGTGTTGGTTATCCGGTTCATGTACCTGCAGGTGTGACGCTGCAGACTGCATCTGGTGAGAGTCTAGTCTAATGCTATTTCATTTCTAGCATTGACACTAACTTCTAGAAGAGTTTGTTTCCTGAGTTTTGTAGACTGTCTACCAGAAGTTATAGGAACTTCAATAAAATCTGTTTTAAATATTAGAATCAATGATGGTTATTATTTTGACGGAGGCAGCTACCACAGAAGAAGGTCTTGTCTTGTCTTTTGTTCCCAGTTCTCTTTCCCAACGTTATTGTTGTTCAATGCCGTCGAGTTGGTTCCAACTCTTAACAACCCTGTACAGGGTTTCCAAGGAATGGCTGGTGGGTTTGAACTGCATACTTGTCGTTAGTGGTCCAGTGCTTACCCTAGAGCGCCACACCAACAGTGGTTAGAGACTTTATATATATAGTTTCAAATTCAAATTCAAATTTCAGATCCACCTACATAATGGAGTCCTTGTGTGGTGCTTTGGGCTAATGCGCTGGACTGCAAAGTCGGTTTGAACCACAAGGTCAGCGGTTCAAGCTCACCAGTCGCTTCTTGGAAACCCTTTACAGGGTCATTATGGGTCAGAACCAACTCGACAGCACTTAACAACAACAACTTACTTACTAAAAAATATAAAATAAAATGACTTTATGCCTGCTAATTACAATAAGGAAAATGAAAGATTAAGCTGGTTAACCATTTCTTCCTTTCTTATTGGAGGCTACATGGTATACTAGAAAGGGCATCTGGAGGTTTGGCACATCTGCTTTTCAAAGCACCGTTTCTTGATTTGAAAGAGTTTAGTGTCTAAACTTTGGATTATTGTAACATTTAAGCAGCATGTACAACTTGATGCTCAAAAATAAATACCTCCTTTATCCTCTTTTGGTTGTAATTTAGAGAAAAGGGGGAGCAGAAATGTGATGGGTTTTGAAACCATGACATTTTTCTTGGAGAACCTTGTCCTATAATTGTTATGTGAGATATTAAATACCAGAAATATATTTTTATATATGATTATACTTAAAATCCTATTTTGGGTTGTTAACACTCTGTAATGTACTTACTAAATAATGGGAGAAAATGAAATAAATAATGGTGGCCTGTATATATCTCAAAATGTACCATATGACCAATAGTGGGGAAAAGCTAGAATTAAAGAAAAGCATTCAGTTTTTAAGAATAACAGTAATATATATGTATTGTAGAAAATACAAAAAAGTCTGAAGAATAAAATAAACACGTCTAGAGATAACTACTATTAACATATTGATATAGTTCCTCTCCGTCTGTTGTGTATGAGTTTGTTATTTTTTTATAGAGAGAGAAAGTTAGGATTCTATTATACTTACAGTTTTGCTTTCTCATTTTGAGGTCACCTTTATAAAGTCAATGTACCAGTTATAGTAACACAGACTCCTGGAAGAGCAAATATTCTTCAGCATCCAATTCAGCACATATTTCAGCAGCTTGGGCAGCCTGCAGTAATACAGACCAGTGTTCCACGATTGAGCCCAGCTTCTCTTCATGCAACTACTGAAAAATCACAGAGACTGGAAACTGTGTTCCAACAACCCACAATTCTGCATTCTGGGACAGTGGATAGGAAACACACTGGAAATGAGCATAATGTCATGTCTGAAGTTTTGCTGAGTCAGCAGGAAAGCCCTCAGTATATCAGTCTCCCAAATGTTGTATTTGCTCCACAGGTTTCTCAAACAGATTCGAATGTGGAGCCAGTGCTCAGTGTTTCTGCTAGCATGACTCCAAACATGCATGGTGGGCCTTTCTCCATGGGTCCTCAGGGGGCTCTGCATCAACAACACATACCTGATGTTCAGCTTCATGTTCTTAATAATAGGATGTATGGATGCGATTCTGCAAAGCAACCAAGAAATATAGAGGAGCCCAGCAGCCTGCCTGTGTCCAAGAAGGTAGTTCTATGTTCAATTTCATGGTATTAGGGGTAAGGTAGCTATCAGTGTTTACACAGTAAGGTTAATCAGAACTATATGTGTGCTCAGTTTTCTTTAGGAGATGGTTTCTTTTTTGTTGGTTTTAATATAGCCATTATTGCTTTTTAAGTATTTCATGCTCAGCATTCCTACGCATTTTACTTCAATCAATGAATTAGAATTTTCCTTTAAAAAAATGCGTTTGTTTTGAAGTAATCCTTTTTACCTCTTTATGTTGCAAGAATTCTCTCCCCACCCCCCAGCAGATAAAACTTAAAAGACCTATAAATTCATTTTACTACTTAAATATTTTGAGGTAGTTCCTTGTCATATTTAATATACAAAAGAAGTCCAAAGTGGTTTGTCTTCCTTTACTTAGTTTTCCTAAACTCCCCTATGGTAGTCTTTCTAACATGAGGAATTAATTTTGCCAGTACATACTTTGTTTCTCCCTACCTGCAAAAAATGCTCAGTTCATTTAACTTTATTTATAAATCTCTAAAAATAGCTTGTAATTAATGTTTTTCACTGAAAATAGGCCAGAGCTACTAATTTCCAAGGAATTCACAGTGATGGCAGATTCATATAGAATTTTGGATGGTAACAATTTTCAGAAAATCTTGCGTTATCTTTTTAAAAATGGCTTGTAGCTAATTCCTTTCATACTATTTAGTTAGACTTGAAAATAAAGGATTATATCATACAGATTATTATGAATCGATAATACTAATTTGCATGGTACAGTCATACAAAATCTCACTGTTATTGAGTCAGTTTTGACTCATAGCTTTGCTATAGAGTTTCCAAGGCTGTAAATCTTTACAGTAGCAGAAAGCCTCATCTTTCTCATGTGAAGCAGGTGGTGGGTTTGAACTGCCAATTTTGAGGTCAGCAGTCCAGTGCTATTTATCATACAGTGCCAGCATGATTTCTTTCAGATAATTTGTTGTTGCTGTTAAGTGCCATCAAGTCAGTTCCGTATAGGATTTCCAAGGAGCAACTGGTGAATTTGAACCACTGACCTTGAGGTTCAAACCATCAAGTGCATATCCTAAAGTGTCATACCAATTAAGTGCTGCTTAATGTTTCATTTTCAGAATGCTTTAAATTTCTTAGGTTGAATAGGAAAGATACCGAGTACAGTGAAGGACAGTCAGGAAATAAAATGACTGTCTAAAATGGTTTGACCTCATTTAGGTTGTTTCATATATTTGATGAAACTTGTTCAAGGCCTTAGCAAGTCTGTTTTTAGATTGCTGTAAAGTTCTGAAATTTAAGTGTGCCTTATTTTAGAATTTTATCATGATATTTTTTCACATAGTACATAAAACTGTAAAAATCAATGTAGGCTAAACTCGTAATGATGGAGCATGGTTTTGAGGTAGAAAATAACTATAAATTTAAAATAAGTGTTAGTTTTTATCATAATTGTTTTGGAGGCTTTTTGTCCCTGGCCTCTATATGAACGTTGTACAATTTTGGTGTGATAAGTCAAAGACTTATTTTATTGCTACTCATTAGATGTGATATCTTGCCCAATGTGGTAAAATGGATTAGTTAAGGGAGATTGATCAATGATTGTTTTGGAAAGTGATAGTGGCAGAAGTGGTTGAAAGCTTGAGCTTTGAACCACTGGATTCAAATCCCATACTTACCACTTACAAACAGAGCTATATAACGCTACTCAGTTATTCTTTTGTAGTCTATAAACTGAACATAATGCCAAATTAATGAATTTCAGTATTATTTGAGATAATGTATATGGAGCTCTGGTAGTGTAGTGGTTACAAATCGGGCTGCTAACCTGAAGGTTGGCAGTTCAAAACTACCAGCAGTTCCGTGGGAGAAAGAAGAGATGTTGTGCTCCCATAAAGATTTACAGCCTCCGAAACCCCGTGCAGTGTCACTATTAGTTGGAACCGACTCCATGGTACTTAACAACAACAATGTGGAGTATTTATAGTTTAAAGAAAGACAGGAAAAGAAATTAGGAGCATTATACTCTGTGTGTTTATAATATAGTGGGAAATTTTTCATAGAAGTTTATTAGCTTTAAAATAGGTCTATATCTAAAAGGGACTCTGTAGAATAAGCACTGGACTGTTAACTGAAAGATTGTCAGTTCAAACCTACCAGCCACTCCACAGAAACCCTATATAGTTGCTATGAGTCAGAACTGACTTGACGGCACTTAACAACAACAGCCACCTTTAAAATAGCAATCTGTTAAATTTTCAAAAACATTATGAGCTGCTTTTCTTTATAAGTATATTTTCCAAAATTATCATTTAAAATGACTGTGGCAGCAGTACATCAGCAGTTTGCTGCTAGTAAGTCAAGCCAGATTCAGAAGTGGTTGTGGAATGAAGGATACCATTTCTGGTATCAGACGAATCTTAGTTAAAAGCAGAGAGCACCAGAAAGATCTTTACTTGTTTTTTACTGAGTATTCCACTGTGTGAATCATAACAAATAATAGATAGTGAAAAGAGTGGGAATTCTGGAAGCCTTAATTTTGCTCATGGTGAACCTGTACATGACCAAGAGGCTGTTGTTAGAATAGAACAAGAGGATACAGAACAGGAAAGATGTATGTTAGGATTGTATCCTTTCACCATGCTTATTCAGTTTCTATGCTGAGCAAATAATCTGAGAAGCTGGACTATATGAAGTAAAACACAACATCAGGATTGGAGGAAGACTTATTAAAAACATGTCGTATGTAGATGGCAAAACCTTGTTTGCTGAAATAAAAAAGGACTTTAAAGATATATTTCAAGTTTTAAAAAACAAAGATGTCACTTTAAAGACTAAAGGTATGCCTGACCCAAGCCATGATATTTTCACTTGCCTTATTGTGGACAATGAATAAGGAAGACTGAAGAATTGGTGTCTTTGTATTATGGTGTTGGTGAAGAATAGTGAGCATACTTGGAGTGTCCAAAGAACAACCAAATTTGTCTTAGAAGAAGTACAGTCAAAATGCTCCCTTGAAGGGTGAATGGTAGGATTTTGTCTTACATACTCTGCTTGTGTTATCAGGAGGGACCAGTTATTAGTAAAGGACATCACACTTGATTAAGTAGAAGGTCAGTGAAAAAAGAGGTTACCCTCAATGAGATGGATTGACACAGTGGTTACAATGATGGGCTCAAACATATCAGCAATTGTGATGGCACAGGGCTGGGTAGCGTTCTGTTCTGTTGTACATAGAGTTGCTATGAGTCAGAAGCGACTCAGTGGCATGTAGCAACAAAACTGGAATGCTATAGAGAATTATAAGATCAATTTTTCATTTGAACACTAAAAATTTGGAGTAGAAGGAGAGAAATGGGTAATGACAGTGTATCCTCTGTTGCTGTTAGGTGCTGTTGAGTTGATTTCAACTCAGAGTGACCCTCTGCACAACAGAAGGAAACACTGCCCTGTCCTGCGCCATCCTCACAATTGTTACATTGGAGCCATTGCCTCTGCCTCTGTGTCAGTCCATCTCATTGGGGCTTTTTCTCTTGCTGACTCTCCACTTTACCAAGTGTGAAGTCTTTCTCCATGGACTGGTCCTTCCTGATAATAATATGGCTAAAGGAGCTCTGGTAGCGTAGTGGTTACGAATTGGGCTGCGAACCTTAAGGTCAGCAGTTCGAAACTACCAGCCGCTCCGCGGGAGAAAGATGAGGCTTTCTACTCCCGTAAAGATTTACACCCTCGGAGACCCTGTACAGGGTCGCTATGGGTTGGAACCGACTCGACGGCACTTAACAACAACAGCAAAGTACGAGAGATGAAGTCTCACCATCTTCTCTTCTAAGGATGCATTCTGGTTATACTTTTTCTAACACAGCTTTGTTTGTTCTTCTGGAAGTCTGTGATACATTTAAAAAGTTTTTTATTTAAGCTTTTTATTTTTAATTGTGTGAAGGTGTACAGAGCGGATCATCAGTTAGTACTTTTAATATTCTTACCCCCAACATTGTAATTCAAATGCATTGATTTTTTTTACGGTCTTCCATATTCATTGTTCAACTTTCACATGTATATGGTGGTGGTGTTGTGCCCTCAAGTCAGTTCCAACTCATAGCGAACCCTATAGGGTTCCCAAGGTTGTAAATCTTTATGGGAGCAGAAAGCCTCATCTGTCTCCCATGGAGCAGTTGGTGGGTATGAACTCAACTATGCTGCCATGGCTCTTTACCTGTATATATGAGGTGTTGTCGCTGTTGTTAAGTGCCGTTGAATCGGTTCTGACCCATAGCGACCCTGTGTAGGGTTTCCAAGGAGCGGCTGGTGAGCTTGAACAATGATCTTGCAGTTCAAGTGGCTTTGCAGTCTGGTGCATTAACCCACAACACCACACCAGGACTCCGTATATGAGGTAGTACCATGGTAATACCATGGCTTGGATCTAGCATACCTTAGTCTTCAAACTGACATCTTTACTATTTAGCACTTTAAAGAGGTCTTGTGCAGCAGATTTGCTTAATGTAAAAACATCGTTTGATTTCTTGATTGCTGCTTTCCTGAGCATTGATTGTGGATCCAAGCAAAGTGAAGTTTTTGACTTCAATCGTTTCTCCATTTATTATGATGTCATTTGTTGATCCAGTTGTAAGGATTTTCCTAGATTACAGCCTAGGGATTCCTATGGGACAGTTCTCCTCTGCCTTATAGGGATGCTATGAGTTGGAATTGACCTGATAGCACACCACAACATACTGTGATTACAGTTCCATTTGGGAATGGCATTTCTTTGTTTTTTAATAAGGTGGTATTAGTTATTAGTTTAGGGTGTGTTGTAACTTAATCTCTCTTGAGGTATAAGAGAACAGATTAAGCAAGTAAGCATAAATTGAGGGGAAGATATATACTACAAGAATGTCAAGAAACCTATGAATAGAAGCTGAAAAGAGACAAGGACCTTGCCCCACATCTGATGGAGTGACTTCCTTTATGTGAGATTTCCTCTGTAGCTGGTGCCCTGA